GGGAGCAACGACAACGATGAGAGTGATTAACGTGTTCAGGTTTTGAGAAGTCAAGAGTCGGGAGAGAGAATGTTACAAAGAACGTTTGCCATGTAGGTTGTCAAATTATTTTAGGGATCACTTCAAGGTGGGAAGTGAGAGGCCAGATTTTGAAAATCTTGTCTTTTTGTTTGTACTTGGAGCAGCTGGATGACATGATTAGCAGTGTTTTATATATATATATATATATATATATATATATATATATATATATATATATATATATACACATATATATACATATATATACATATGTATACATATATATACGTACACACACACACACACACACACACACACACACACACACACACACACACACACACACACACACACACACACACACACACACACACACACACACACACACACAGATACACATACAGATACACACACACACACACAGATACACACACACACAGATACACACACACACAGATACACACACACACACACAGATACACACACACACACACACACACACACACAGATACACACATACACACACACAGACACACACAGATACACACACACACAGATACACACACACACACAGATACACACACACACACACACACACACACACACACACACATACACACACACACACACAGATACACACCACACACACACACACACACACACACACACACACACACACACACACACACACACACATACACACACACACACACCCAGATACACACACACGCACACCCAGATACACACACACGCACACCCAGATACACACACACGCACACCCAGATACACACACACGCACACCCAGATACACACACACACGCACACCCAGATACACACACACGCACACCCAGATACACACACACGCACACCCAGATACACACACACGCACACCCAGATACACACACACGCACACCCAGATACACACACACGCACACCCAGATACACACACACGCACACCCAGATACACACACACGCACACCCAGATACACACACACGCACACCCAGATACACACACACGCACACACAGATACACACACACGCACACACAGATACACACACGCACACCCAGATACACACACACGCACACCCAGATACACACACACGCACACACAGATACACACACACGCACACACAGATACACACACACGCACACACAGATACACACACGCACACCCGCACGCACACGCACACGCACACGCACACGCACACGCACACGCACACGCACACGCACACACGCACACACACACACACACACACACACACACACACACACACAAATGTAAAATATATGCACTTATGTATGTATATGTATATATATCCTTTTTCCTTTTTCTTTGTGTTGATTGAACAATTTTATAGAATGGAGAAATGCTTTTCTTTGGTGCTGTGATTACTGAAAGTATAAACAAGAAGGAACTGACAGAACAAATGTTTGATAGTTTTAAATCCGAGGAAGTGAAGGGTAGCCAAGAGAACAGAGCAGCGGTTGCAAGTTGCAGCAAGATATACAAGGGAGAATGATGGATGTTAAAGGAAAATCAAATCATTCAGAACAGTTATGCCTGAATTAGGGTTAACACTTTCTTTGGATACTCAGCTTTGATTGATGTGTAATGGTCAATGTGAACTTAAAAGTGTTGTAGATATATTAATCTTAGGAATATTTATTTAACTTATATTTTTTTTTTTGCCCAGCTGCAGCTATGTAACTGTATGATACTATTGCAGAGACTGTAGAATTAAGGTGTCTTAATATTTTTTGAGCCAGAATTTGCATCAGTTTTGTAGGGAAATTTTGCTGTGGAAAGAAGCCGATTCATTAGTGGCAACTTCTTTAGAAAAAGGACAGCCATCACACTGGAGACCTGCAGGAAAGGTTTCCATTCATTGTGTGATGCAGGAGGCATGTCCTTGCACAGTTTTTCAATAGAAAAGCATTTGTATGCATTTTATTGGAGGAAATGATAGATGCATATGTTGCTTTTTTAGTGCTGAGGCTATGTTTGTGCATTTTGATGGAAATAAGCATCTTTTACTTTTAATAACACAGAATATTAGAAAAGTTATTGTGGTAGTAATTGTGCAACCAGTTGATGAGGAAGACAAGACATTCAAAAAAACAAAATTTAGGCATCAGTTTTCCTGGAACTAGCCTACTACCTCAATTGAGCTGATACCTGTCAGAAATCTGTTAATCAGAATGTTGTTCTTCGTATAATGTCGTCCGCCCACAACCATTCGTGTTCCCTCGCAGTCCACGTCATTCTTTCAGGTTAGTCCTTCTCGGAAGTGAGTTTGGGGGGCCTTGATCTTCCTGCTATTAGCACGGTGACTGAGAGTAAATAAGCCAGAGCCTGATCTGAGTGGCAGTGGCATTGGCTAAGGCATGAAGGGATGCCAAATGTTTATTTTTGTGCAATGCTATGATACTTCATTTTCACACTGTATGGTTGTCATTTTTCACTTTTTATACTAATCTTCCAATTATTTTTTTGTATTAATTTCAAGTTAGTGTAGACAGGCATTCTTATATGTTTTTCTCTGAAGGTGAAAAGGGATTTGCACTGTGCTATGTTTTGTTAACTTAATATGGAATGGTAGTCTTTTGGTAGTGCTTTTGTAAATGTAATGAACAAGGAATCAGTGAATATATTATGAAACTACTGTGATTTCTTAGAATTTGTTTTTAGATTCTAAAGTATGCGGTAAATTACTGCTTAGATATCTGGGGAAAAATTATTGGGTATTTGATCCTGGTTTTATGCTCCATCAGTTACCTTATATGGTTGTAGTTTTATTTTTTTCCCAGATTTCTCCCTCTCCCTCTCCCTCTCCCTCTCTCTCTCTCTCTCCCTCTCCCTCTCCCTCTCCCTCTCCCTCTCCCTCTCCCTCTCCCTCTCCCTCTCCCTCTCCCTCTCCCTCTCCCTCTCCCCCTCTCCCTCTCCCTCTCCCTCTCCCTCTCTCTCTCTCTCTCTCTCCCTCTCTCCCTCTCTCTCTCTCTCTCTCTCTCTCTCTCTCTCTCTCTCTCTCTCTCTCTCTCTCTCTCTCTCTCTCTCTCTCTCTCTCTCTCTCCCTCCCTCCCTCTCCCTCTCTCTCTCTCTCTCTCTCTCTCTCTCTCTCTCTCTCTCTCTCTCCTCTCTCTCTCTCTCTCTCTCTCTCTCTCTCTCTCTCTCTCTCCCTCTCCCTCTCCCTCTCCCTCTCCCTCTCCCTCTCCCTCTCCCTCTCCCTCTCCCTCTCCCTCTCCCTCTCTCTCTCTCTCTCTCTCTCTCTCTCTCTCTCTCCTCTCTCTCTCTCTCTCTCTCTCTCTCTCTCTCTCTCTCTCTCTCTCTCTCTCTCTCTCTCTCTCTCTCTCTCTCTCTCTCAGAGCAAACCATAGCAAATAGTACAAGGTGTAGAAGATGACATGCATACATGGTTATAGCTTTCTTGTTGTAAGACCTAAGGAATAATGTGCTTTTGATTATCTGAAGTAACATTACATACAATGACAGAAATTATTTACACTCTGTTACATATTCCCTTTTATGTACAAAGACACTAGAAATATTCTATATGACGTGTAAATGCTGCTTATATGATGATGTGAGTTGAGCTTTAATGATCTATACTTGCCATAATTTTTGTTAATGGTGTGATGATCTTTGCACTAAAGAGCCGTTCCTGTGTGATTAATTTACAGTAGTCTAAGTATGTGTACATCATGCTATATGGTGTAGCCATTCCTTTGATAAGTACATTAAGAATCTGAGTAACTTGTGATACAAATATGGCTGATCTGCCTGAAGAGGATTGAAATGTACACTAACCTGTTTATCTTAAGCTGATAAGAGCATAATATTCAGTGTGAAAATATTGTAAATCAACAAATGGTCTCTTGATGTTTATGTTCTTATTTACATACAGAAATGAATGCCAGATGGCTGACCAGCAATGTATTGATTTTTCTCCGTGGAGGAGGGGGCTGCTTTTCAGATTTCTTTCAGCTTCATTGTCATGTCTAATATAATTCACTGCAATGTTCAGTGATGATTATTACATTTCCACAGTATTACAGATATTCTCCATCATCCTATCATTTCTAACTTTCTAACTGGCTTTGAACAAAACTAATGGTTGTAGGATACACTCATATACACAATATATATCTCCCTAAAAAAAATAATTTCTTAGTAAGATTATAATCAAAATAACATACTTAATCAATAAAGAAAATGGCTAATATTTTTAACAATTCTCTTTTCAAAATATTCTTGAGAGTTGAGCACAAATTATGAGTAGAACTCTCACATTAAAGTGATATTAACAAAGTGTTATGAAAGTCATCCATTTTCTGGTATACATTCTCATGTTTTGTATGAAATGCAATTTTTTTTCTTAAGTTCATCTGTCAATACATGTTGTCCATTGCTGAATTATAAATGAATAATGAAAGAACTGTAGGATGGTGTAAAGTAGTATTAGAAATACAGTGTTATACACTAACATTCCTTTTTCATGTGTATGTTTTTTGTTTGTTTGTTATTTATTTATTTATTTATTTTTGCATTAGTTATATCTGTCACATTCTGCTCTAAAAATGAACTAAAAATATTTAAAAAATGAAACAAAAATAGCAAGGCAGCTGGAACCCAAAAAGCTTGAAATTGAACCTTGAACTGAAACTATTGTTTTGGCCAATCAGGAAAGGGAAGTTGTATTCTTCTGTTGAAAGAAATTTTATAAAATATAAAGAGTCAAAGTTGTATACAGAAGTTTATCTAGTCATATGAATTTGTACTTCTTTCTTTAAAGTATGTATGCAGCCAATAAAGTGATGATTTTAAGTTGAGTTTGATTTAATGTCTTTTCTATGGATATGTATAATTTGTCCTGAGGGTTTGGAAATACATAAGTTACATTTGTGAGGTCTGTATTGAAGTAAAAGTATCAAATATGAAATGCAACAAACAGTGAAGAGAAAAGGGTATAATATCCACAAATGTTCAGGAAACATTCTTTTATTTCTACATGCTACTTGTACACACTCAAGCATCCATACATAAATAAAAGGGAATGGTGCACTTATTGTTCCCTAAACAACAACATAAGTCACTGTAAAGAGAATTACTGTAAATCTTCACTGGCCAAATCTAGTATTAGGTCAGACTTAAAATATTTATACAATAACAGTAAACTTGAATAGTTATTATTACGGAAAAGAAAACCTATTTTGTGACCTGTATGTGAAGAATTAAAACATATTGTCTAATATACAAATGAATTGCAGATTGAAGATGACGACTGATGTTGGGAATATGCTGGAGTGTTTTGTTTCTGTTAGTGTGGATTATCAAAGGCTGAACTTCATGATAACTTGTACATTAGTATTTTAAACCCTTACAGGCTTTTCTGATGAGACTTTTAAAATCCAGCATTACTCAGTCTAAGAAGTACATTTTTTTTGTACCTTTCTTTTAAATGCAAAGACTCAACAAAATACAGTGCCTCTGTATATACATATCAGATCATATTGCTTATTTGTATCAAAGATGATTGCACAATGTCATGATAAACTTTTGAATATAAATAATAATATGAAAAATCTGTAATGAAATTTGCCCTTTTTCAATAGCAAAAATACTATTAACAATAATAAAAGAAAAAATACAGCTGAGGACTTTACAAAAAACAAACAACTTTGTTGTGTCAAATGACAAATCATAGGTTAGCGTCCACCCTCCTGTCCTCCTCCTGAGAGAACCATGATGACCACGACTGGTACAATGTACATCCACTGTGGAAGAAAATATAAAGCATTATATGAACAATACATAAACAAGCATTTAGTACTGTGCATAAGGTCACTTAAAAATGCACATGGCATGGGACTGGACAATATCTCGAACATCTAAAAACCATCATCTTAGACATCTCAGACATCTGAAATGACTGCTGCAGGATTCAACTCCCATTCAATACAGACTAAATGCACACAGGCATCTTCCCCTAGGGCCTGCACTACCATGTGCATCTTTACGAATACTTGCCAAGACCGTTGGCAGATGACACCCAAATAAACAAAATGACTTCACTTACGTATTTTGCCAGGAATGTGCGGTTATCTTTCCCCTCTGCCTTTTCAGTCTTCATTGCCTCAAGCTTCTCAATGTATGTTGCTGTGTCTGGTCTGTAAAAGATTGCATTCAAATGAGTATCACCTTACCATATCAATGTAAAATTAGCACTGTAATTATTTTTTTACTCTTTCTTTCCCTTAGGATGCAATTTATCTAAACCTGCAACAACACAATAACAATATTTCTGAACAAGGCTGCTCAACCAAATGCAAAAATGACTAATATAACAAGAAACTCTCTCTAAAGAAGATAAAAAGTCCAGAAACTAACACGGGCGCTGGTGTTGGAGAGCGAATGATGACTGTAGTGTTGTGGTTGGCTGGGATGGCTTCGGGCTCTTCTCCCTGGCACACGGTCACTGGGGGGATGAGGCCCACACCAACAACCCAGGTGCCGGCGCTGTCCACCATCATGCTCAGGGTCTCAGAGAGGCCACTCTCATATATCTGACACTGGGATGGGGGGGGGGGGGCCCCAGGTCCCTGTCCACCATCATGCTCAGGGTCTCAGAGAGGCCACTCTCATATATCCTGACACTGGGGATGGGGGGGGGGTTAAAAAGAGGATCTGTCAACTGCTGAATATTCTGTGTACAAGTTATCTAAACCTGAAACTGGATTTTAAAATTATCTTCATATTTCATCTAGAAAAGCTCTTTTTCCAGGGCTGAGTGTCAGTCAACATGGTTGTTTAGTCTACCACAGGTATTAATAAGTACATTTCCTTATGAATAAACTATAATAATATTTGTAGTCCTCATTTATCCCACTTATGCAAGTATATGCATGTGTTTGTTGTGGTAGTCATGCCTGATTATGGGGTGCTGACCCAGACCACACTGAGTGGTGTTGGTAATAATAATAATGATAATGATAATAATTAATAACAGCAAATAATAATTAATAACAGCAAATAAAAATTAATAACAGCAAATAATAATTATTTATAATAATAATAATAATAATAATAATAATAATAATGATAATAATAATAATAATAGTAGTAAATAATCATTAAAAATAATAGCAAAAAAACTGAAATATAGAACACAGCTGGAGTTTCAGAAATGGGAATGTAAAACTATTCAAGTATTAAGTGGTACAATTAATAAAAAATTTTGAAGGCTATCTAAACTGCTTTTCAATTTTTTAAATTTATTTATGTCTTTTTGATTTATTAATTGGCCATACTGAATCAATAAAAAAAATAAAGCATCAGTATTCTTACACATACACATGGTTTATTCTTTTTTTCTTTCCTACAGCACAAAAATACAAAATATAACAAGGATCACAAAACACAAATCCCTACTTACAGCTCTGGTGAAGGTTGATACGTAGCCTCTTTCCTCTGATCCCTTATGATAAACACGAACGCGATAAAAGTCATCGTTTTCTGCAAGTTTCTGAGAAAGAAGAACACTATTTGTAGCTATCCATAAAATGCATTAGTTTTGTAAAAAGGTCTGCCATCACGTGTACTCTTTTACTCAACTCCTGATAACGAGTGGCCTGTACACATCACAACTGTTTGTTTGTATGGCTGTTACTGAGGTGACTGAGGATTGACAGCCCCACAAGAGCTGGCTCAAGGGCACCTATTAGCCTCGTCCACTGGAAAACCGTATATGCTGCAGCTACAATCACACATTGTAGGGAAATGATATATAACTGGCTTAGAGGAAACAACATGAGTAAGATAGAAAGAGAATGATAGGTAATAGTGTGCAAGAGTGAAAGAGGGTAGGGGGAATTGGGGAGGGGATTGTCTCACCTTCAACTTATTGTGCAACTCAGCATTCCACTGTCTCGCATGTGTCACCACAGCATTCCCAGATTTTACGGAGCGGACATGGATTGTAGAGCGTGGAGCAAAGACAGGTTCTGGTCCGCCCTCCAGGGCATCCTCCACCACCAGGGTCAACTGCCCATCCAAGAAATCATCCTCCTGAAAATGGGAGAGTGAATATAAAAATAGATGTAGGAATAATATGTATGAAGAGGATTGTTACACAAATTGATAAGAGGTTTTTTTGGGGGAAATGGTCCTACTCTTCATCATTCGCTTACCATCTACAGACTTTCCATTGCTAAAGGATCAGCTGATAATGAAAGTGACAGAAGTAAATAACAATACCTCAGCTATCCACTGCCACAATTACCAGCTCCTCTGGGAAAACTGACACTTCAGTGCAACAATACCCATATCTAGCAAAATTCATCTTGAATTTGTCATATACCTTATGGAGATGCCATAAAGTATACACATATTTCATGCTGCCATCTATAGCTCTCCTATAGCTATATCAGTAGTAGTAACATTCCATTATCAATTATAATTTTGTGTTATTCAGGAAAAATGTCTGATATCAATAGCATCACCCATTTACCTTCAGAATGAAGGTATCTCAACTGCAATTTCCTTTTCCTTGCTAGATAAAGACTAGATAATGCTGACAGATGATATCCAAGATAAGACTTGTGGATCTGGTTGGGAATAAGAAGGGCGACAGCCTTTACTAAAGAATTGCTAAAGGGAGTAGACTTCTCAAACTATTTAGAATAGATTTAGAATATACTTGATATCACAGCCTTTTTAATCATCAGCAATTAGGCATTGATGAATTGCTACTGTCCTGATATAATACTTTTAGTCCACAAAAACCATCAAAAGCAATGATGTTCGCAGCTTCTTAACAAGACAGAACTTGTTGATTTCCATAGGGAACCAGTCCAAGCTCTGACTTGTTAGAATGTTATGTAGTGAAAGTCTCCTGAACATTCTCTGGTTTACAGCAATCTCTCCAGCTATCAGGGCCAATACTGTCACTAGAGAGAGTTTCCACAGATTTAAACTATTATTGATATTACATATGTTTGATATTATGTGTACAGGTACCAAAATCATTAGTATAAGCAACAGCTGATTTTATTGAACAAATAACCTCTTTTATTTGCCCAATAAATTCCTTGGACTATTGTATGTCTTCTCCTATGGGAGCAATATTGTTGGTAAAGTAAATGACTCTTCAAGAATGTTACTAAAAGTGGATATTTTGCATCACTGGCAATCCAATATGGAATATGGAATATGGAATATGGTATTGATGAATTGCAATTTATGTATCTTGTTCAGCTATAGTAATTTCTAATCCATTGAAGCCAACTGCTGGGATGCTATTAGGATACTCAGAGGGCCGATGCAATGCCAATGTAAAATCTAAAATAGCTACAGTGGAAGTTTGTTGACATCTGCCAGAGTACCAAAGATATAGATGATTACTTGAGTCAACAGGGTATGTCTCTGAATAAGCAACTGTGGGCTTACTCCTTTGTACTTAATAACTAGAGTCATCTTCTCTGTTCTGTAAGGTAATTACCTAAGTTCTTTTTTCTCTACCTCAGACTTTCTGCAGTGTCCTTACTTCAAATTATTTATTCTTCTCTCCACTCACAGCAGAGACCTGACTGGCTACCTCGGACACCTTTGGGCTCTCTCATTGGCTCCCCTCATTCCCTGTGTGCTTAAACAGCACTAGTGTACTTAAGCCGTAGAATCTGGAACCAAGACTAGTATTCTCCAATCCCCTAGACAAACAAGACAACAGCAGCAGCAACTCAGGAATGCCCAGTCCTTAGCTGACTGGGGAGCCTCCTGGCTCCCCCCATTGATCTCCAAATCAACTCCAGCACCCAGCCATACCAGTGGGTACTCACACCCACGACAAACACTCCCCAAAGAAATAAAATACAAGTCCAAGTAGTAGATGCATATTGATGACCCATGGAGTAATACGTCAAGGTATTTCACTCGCTTGCTTAGCTCACTCTCTGGAAGGGGAGTACATGTGGCAGCACAACCCGCAACCTGAAGTTAAGCATACTTCCCAGGTTGCTCACATTGTCTGCAGCCGTGTCCTCACACTCTCAGCAGCAGGAGCTTCTTTTGACTAACTGCAGAAACCTGACTGGCTGACACGGACAAATCCCAGCTTTCTTATTGGACTGTGATATCCCCTCATTCTTAGCTGGCTTACACAGCACTCCTGTATTTAAGCTGCAGAAACAGGAACCAAGATCAGCATCCCCCATTCCTCCAGATGAACACAACAGCAGCAGCAACTCAGGACTGCCCAGTCCTTAGCCGACTGGGGAGCCTACTGACTACCGTTGGTCTCCACTTCACCTACAGCACCCAATCATACCCATGGGAACTCACACCCACAACATACACTCCATAAAGAGATACTAGACCAGTTCAAGTAGTAGATGCATACTCATGTACTGCACCAGAATGGTTAATGGTTAAAACAAATAAATGTGCTAGATATCAAAGATCACATAGCATCATGAAGTATTATGGCAAAAAGAGTAAAAATGAGATAAAGATCAGGCTAAAATGTGTCAGATGTCAAAGGTTGTGGAGCGTTGTAGGAGAGTATGGTAGTGAAAAGGGCAGAAAGAGGTGAGAGCAAATGGAGTACAATGGGGATTTGTAAACGGAGGAAGGGTTACGGGTACAGGGTGATTAGATCAAATGTATAAGGAAGAAAGTATAAGGTACTGCCACTGAATCAGAGCTGACTAGGCATGTGAGCAATTTTCACAGTCAGGGAGATGAAACAGTTCCAGTACAAATATCAAAGGAAGAGTGAGGTTGGACAGGGATAGATTTACCAGCGAGGTCACTCAGGGTAGATAGCACACGAGCTCAGGACTCAGACTGTGACAAGGTGTGAATGATAGGAACAACTGCAAAAGGAAACTTTGCCTATTTGTTTTTGGAGACATTGTTGGATGTGGAGGGTATTGTCAGAGTGAGGCACTGCAGGGGGAATCACAAAGAATAAATTCCACATAGCTGGGCCAAAGAGTATGCAAAAGCAGTAGAAGGACGAAGGTAGGAGGAAGATGGGAGTGCGGTATTACAGTGGGGTGGAGGACAATAAGGATGAAGAGCAGTAATAAGGGGGGAAGGGGTAGAAGACTGTGCAGTAGGAGATGGAGTGGAGGATGCTGGGAGAGAGGAAAGGGTGTGTTATGAGTAATGACCTGGGAAGATGATTTGGAATCAATAGAGCTAACAGAAAATACGAAGAGGGGGCATTTATATCAGTGGTCGGAGCCGTGGTCAGAGAAGAGGCAGGAATCAGGAAACCTGAGAAATCAAATTTAGAAATGCTAGCTGATGAAAATCTTCGTTAATGGCCATGGTGAACCTGAAATAAATGGGGAGAGGAAATGGCCTTCCCCTCAAGGTCCCTACAGGGGATAAGGGCTTTAAAATTACCTATGGGAATACCCTGCCCATGGCCCCCGGAAGCCTTTCAGAACAGATAAAAGCCAGCCTTTCATCCTTTCCGCTCAGCTCTCACATCTTAGGAAGTGGACAGAAGAAGGGGATGAAGACGAGAAGGAAAAGGAAAGGGGGAGAAGGAAAGGGAAAGGGGGAGAAGAAAAGAGGGTCTAGGTCCGTCTCCTGAGCCCCCCACGACAACAGGTATTGGGGAGGCCCTTACTTCAAGGTTTCCCATTCATTGAAGAACTGCCCTCGCCAACTACAGGATCAATATCGTCTCTAAAGTTGCTTTCCGCAAACTAAACTGAAATTTCATGGAAAGTAACATCACAAGCTGTCTATTGCTACCAAATTCATTACTGTGGGAGACGTGTAGCTTTACCGTTGAGATCCCTAGGACAGAAAATGGCTTTACTCCCAGTCTGTAACAGCTTAATTGGATTACAAATAAAATGAGAAAATCTATTTCGCCTCCTGAAATGTGGCTTCCCGGTCTTCACGAAAACTACCCTATATTTAGTCTTTACTCTTAAAATGCAAAGAATTTCGGGCGAGTCGCAATATATATACCTGAAAAGCATAGGAAGCACCGGCTAACAGTACTATAACTGTGAAAATCTTGAGTCGATTCGTCATCCTTTCCTGTCAACTTCACAACAACAACTGGCTTAAATGTGACACTTTTTCCAGACTTTATGCCAAAATCTTTTGGTCTCTTTTTGTAATTATATATTAATTTTCCTTTGGCTTAGGATAAGTTGGTATCCTTTTTGACTGATGATATATCAGTCAACTACAGATGTGTTGCATTTCCACTTGCACAGAAGTTCAACGGACTGATTATAAAAGTAGGTTTAATGTTGAGAAAATGTTCCGTATCCTTCTACGCGTCGGCTGCATAAGCAGGGATAACGAATCTAAAAGGGATAGTAATTATAAACCTCTGTCTTTAGCTAATTTTTATGATTGAATAATCACTGGTAGATATAAAAGCAACATTATATGTAAACATTTTAAACAGTTGCAACACGAATATCGATAACCCAATTTTGTCGGAAATGAAGACTGTTGATGGGAAATGAAAAATCTCAGGTGCTTAGCAAATGCTGTGGTAGAGTGAACCACAAAATGCATACAAAAACACACACACACACATATATATATGTATGTGTGTGTGTGTGTGTGTGTGTGTGTGTGTGTGTGCGTGTGCGTGTGCGTGTGCGTGTGCGTGTGCGTGTGCGTGTGCGTGTGTGTGTGTGTGTGTGTGTGTGTGTGTGTGTGTGTGTGTGTGTGTGTGTGTGTGTGTGTGTGTGTGTGTGTGTGTGTGTGCGTGTGTGTGTGTGTGTGTGTGTGTGTGTGTGTGTGTGTGTGTGTGTGTGTGTGTGTGTGTGTGTGTGTGTGTGTGTGTGAGTGTGTGTTTCCATATATACATTATTGATCAAGGTTGAATGGTCCTTTTCAGAGCAGCTGATATGGCTATTTGTAAATATATATATATATATATATATATATATATATATATATATATATATATATATATATATAAATACCTATATCAATAAGTAAATAAATAAGTGACTGAGCAAAAGCAAAAGGTAAAATCTCGCGTGAAAAACACGCAGACCCAAACATATCTACCTATTATACGCAACAATATGTTTACCAAGAAAATTATGATTTTTTTTCTTTTAGAAATTGAATAAAATAATCTAACATGAATCATTAAGTAAAGATAAATAAATGTGAACCGGAAAAGGACACTACTCAACCCGGAACTAAGCCGGCCTTTTTCAGAGACACAATATCATAATATAAAGAAAAGTAAATAAATTGCCTTCCTAAATGTATTTAAAATATCGCGTTGGAAATTTTCAATATTCTAAACCTTAGCATTAAGGAACATAAGCCACTTATATTCAACACGGACATAGTTTTCCATACAAGAAATTTACGACAGAATCTTTGAAGAAATCTACAGAAAAATGACACAACACAAGGCGGAACTAAGCCGGTTTGTTTACATCTGCGGCTACTCGGACTTTCCTCGAGTTGGAAAAGGAATTGCAGATCTAAAACCCTATAAAAGAAGAAAGAAGAATAAGAATAAGAATTGCAGATGAACGGGGCAGAAAGGAGCCGTGGAGTTGCATTTATGGTCCCAACTGGCTCAGGCGTCAAATTGAATCAATTCGGATCCAAGTGAAGCTGGGAGAGATGCTGTTCAGCCTGAGAGACGTTCAGCGAAATGTCGTCAGGCTCTCCGCTGTCTACGGGAATAAAAACTTGGGTTCGACCAAGAGGTGTTTCAGGGCAAATCTCGGCCGCAGTTCAGTTGAAATGAAAGGTAAAGGTCCTTGGAGTAATCGGGGCCTTCAAATTTGGAGCTGCATTTATTTCGTCCCTAAGAGTGGTCACCATAAAGTTGCTGAAGTACTATCTTTCTTATCATTAGTACATAATCTGGCTGTATTATCTTTTTTGGTTAGAGCATATAGCCAGTTGGTGTGTTATGTAGTCTAAACGCATTGAAGATATACCTGCAATGACTGAAGCACTTGCAGCGATCTCTGTGCCTTTGGCACTCTTAAGAGAAGAGCAAACCTGCACCCTAGAGGTTTAAGAAAGATAGGGCTCTGAGAGCAGCCTGGGGTTTGCCATCGATTAGGGAACAGGTACAGGGTCTATCTTATAGAACATATGCAGTGAAAGTTTGCTAGCTTTTGTTGGAGCGCCAAAGGTGCAGAAGCCACAGCTCATGGAATTTACTCTGAGGATGTGGTTCCAGGGTCAGAGATTACTAGTAGTTGTGGCTGGTGAATTTCAAAATTTCAGATCTTCTGCTGAGAACAATAAATAAGATGAATAATTATTAGTTTTTGTACATAGTAATTCAGATACTAATCCTGCAGATGGTTTCAGATGTTTCACAACCCCTCGCAAGTGGCTACAACCCTCGTGATGTGGAGAGCGACTGGTATGCCTGGTGGGAGCAGCAGGGCTTCTTCAGGAGGCAAGGAGGGAAGGAGAAGTTCATCATGGTTCTTCCACCACCTAATGTAACGGGCAATCTGCACCTCGGCCATGCCCTCACCTGTGCTGTGCAGGATGCCATAGCAAGATGGTTTGTTAATGTTTTTGAAAACAAAAGTAGATAGCTTTACCTACAGAAAATTTTAAAGAGTTGTCTGATTAATTTGTACTGTAATCCTTTTTTTTTTTAGCTTTATTTTATTTCCACACATACCAGTTGGATTACCATGGTAAAAGGCTTTAATCTTATAAAAGGCTATAAAGTTTACTGACCTTCGTATTTCTAATTAAAGTAATAGTTTTACAAACTGATTTTTTTTTTTTTTTTAATCTATATAGTTCATGAAATTGCTGGCTCTTTTTCCAAATTTTCATGTTAAACATGTATTACAGGCATCAGATGCTTGGTAATGAAGTTGTCTGGGTGCCTGGATGCGACCATGCTGGGATTGCTACGCAGGTAGTTGTTGAAAAGCATCTATGGGCCTCACAGGGACTCACACGGCACCATTTGGGAAGAGAAAAGTAAGTAAGACACAGGAATCGGTGAACTGTGTCAACACTGTTGAATGTCTCAGGTCATTTTATGAAAATATATGAGAACTGCACAGAAACTATTATTTAAGTTTTTTTTTTATTTCATGATTTTGAATCTGAGAGCCATGCCTGCTGGCTGTGTAAGATAGGGAATAGTTGTATGTTACAGATTTGTTGGTGAAGTTTGGAAATGGAAAGAAGAAAAAGGAACTCAGATTTATGACCAGATGAAGCAACTGGGTGTGTCACTAGATTGGGACAGAGCAGTTTTTACCATGGATGAAGTAAGTTCCACCTTCACTAATTTTCCAGTAACTCTAGAAATTGAAGGGAGAATCATGTAATGGTCTGCAAAAGATTGAGATATCTTCAAACTTTTCATTATCTATACATATAAATTACTAATATATAGAATTTGTGTATCCCTCTGATGCAATGGAGTATATTTGACTGAATGAGAGTTGTAATGAGACTACAGGAATAAAGTTATGTGTTTTGCTTGTATGTTGCAAGTTCTGTGATTACTGTAATTACGAAGAAGCCTTTTGAAGGTGGACCTCATGAAGTCATTAGTTATATCACTTTCTTTCCAGGTGATGAGTGAGGCTGTTACTGAGGCTTTTATCCAGTTATTTGACTCTGGCTTGATATACAGGAGAAATGCCCTAGTTAACTGGTGCTGTGCCTTGCAGTCGGCAATTTCTGACATTGAAGTGGATCACTTACATCTGACGGGGAAGACAGAGGTAGCAGTCCCAGGGTATGAAAAGCCAGTCACCTTTGGCATGATGTATGACTTTGCCTACAAACTTTCAGATACAGGTTGGTGGAACTGCTTCTTGAGATGATATTCATTTAGAAAACATTTAATATTTTTAAAAAGAATGTTTCATGTGTTTTGATAATCAGGAAATTTTATTATCAGTGTTATGGATTCATAGTAATTTACAATACCATTTTCAGGATTATCGTTGTAAGAAGTGTTGTTAAATGCAATGGTAACTTTTGTGGTCATGGAAAAGTTTCCATATACCTCTTTCATATATGAATATCACATTTCATACATTCACAGATGAGGAACTTGTGGTCTGCACAACACGGCCTGAGACAATGCTTGGAGATACAGCAGTTATGGTCCATCCTGATGATAAGCGCTACCAGCATCTTCATGGGAGCAGAGTTCACCACCCTTTTCGAAATGAAAGCATACCTGTCATTGCAGATTATCACGTTGATCCAGGCTTTGGAACAGGTATCTCTCACTGATAATCACACTATCTTTAAAGTATTCATGATTGGTGTCAAGGTTTGCATTTATGTTGATTAGAATTTCCCAAAAGTTTAGTCTATTATATTAAGATACCTTTTGTTAAGATATCAGGATTTACACAAACTCCATTAAAAAAGTAATTTTGAAATAAGATGTTATTATACGAAACTGCGTACATTTTATAGTAATTTTATTGTAATTAAAAGATGAAGGTCATGATCTAAACTAAATTTATAAGATGAGCTGATAGATATAGTACATATTCTAAAATGCCATTAACCATTTTGGATTTTTGAAAATTACCAGGTGTGGTCAAGGTAACCCCCGGTCATGACCAGAATGACTACGAAGTGGGAAAGAGACACGGGCTTCCAGAACTCACTGTCTTTGATGAGCGAGGGAGAATGACAGACATTGTGCCTGAATTTAAGGTAAGATAATTGGATATTTTCCTGTGAGCCCCTGGGACTAGAGTCTGTGATTGGGAAGGCAAGCAGGCTAGATATCTTTGGACAAAATCTTGTCTTTTGAAAGTTTAGGATAGGATCTTTAGTAAGTCCTGTTATTAGGATAGTATTTTCATAGCATATTATCAGATGTGGATTACACTTCATAAGTTGCTTCATATCTACATTACACAGGACATTCCAAGATTTGAAGCCCGTCAGCTGGTCCTGGAAGCACTGGAAGAACAACAGTTGTTCAGAGGCTCTCGCTCCCACCCCATGATGGTTCCTCGTTGCAGCAGGACTGAAGATATCATAGAGCCTCTCCTGAAGCCACAATGGTTTGTTCATTCTTCCTTTCTATATTATTTTCTCCTTCATTTCTTCTTATTCAGTTGATTGTATATTTTAACGAACAGCAGGCTTCATAAAGAAATCCAAAGATAAGGGTTATGTTTCACTCCTTTTCACTCTTTTTCTTGTCCATTCTTCACCCCAGGTTCATTGACTGCAATGACATGGCTA